AAAAAAAAAAAAAAAAAGAAATAAAATCCAGCCACTCGTCGATTTTATATTTATATATTTTATATTTATATATATAATATATTTTTATATTTATATTTTATAAAATCATAGTGAAGTATGATTATAGACACTTAAAGAGTAAAATTAACAAACACTTCTCAACTTTTAATTTCAAGAATTAAGATGTAACTATCATCCTAGAGTTGCAAAATTTTAAGACAGGAAGAGATCATTTTTTAGTTATAAAGAATACTGGCAGCCAGTCATGGTGGCTCACACCTGTAATCTCAGCACTTTGGGAGGCCGAGGCGAGCAGATCACGAGATCAGGAGTTTGAGACCAGCCTGGTCAACATGGTGAAACCCCATTTCTACTACAAATACCAAAAATTAGCTGGGTGTGGTGGCAGGTACCTGTAATCCCAGCTACTCAGGAGGCTGAGGCAGGAGAATAGCTTGAACCCAGGAGGCAGAAGTTTCAGTGAGCCAAGACTGTGCCACTGCACTCCAACCCAGGCAACAGAGCGAGACTCCATCTCAAAAAAAAACTACTGGCCGGGATCACTGTCTCATGCCTGTAATCCCAGCACTTTGGGAAGCCGAGGCAGGTGGATCATTTGAGGTCAGGAGTTTAAGACCAGCCTGGCCAACATGCTGAAACCCCGTCTCTACCAAAAATACAAAAATTAGCCAGGTGGTAGTTGGCGTACACCTGTAATCCCAGCTACTCAGGAGTCTGAGGCAGGAGAATTGCTTGAGCCTGGGAGGCAGAGGTTACAATGAGCTGAGATTGTGCCACTGCACTTCAGTCTGGGTGACAGAGCAAGACTCTGTCTCAAAAAAAAAAAAAAAAGGAATACTGATCCCAGATGAGAATAAAAGATTTGCCCCAAATCACACCATTACTCTAGACTGTGAATCTTCAATCATTGATTCAACATCTTTGTATTTGGTGCCTAAAATGTGGCAGGCATTGTGAATTGGACTATAGAGATGAGTAGGACACTTAGACCCTCCTCACATGGCAGTGCATGACAAACAGGATAGCAGACCTGTTCGATGGGGCGATGTAGTTGAGTGCAATGGTACAATTATGTACACACTCCCCGGCAGTACAGAGAGTGATTCTGTCTCAAAGGTTCTTTTTTTTTTTTTGAGGCAGAGTCTTGCTCAGTCACCCAGGCTGGAGTGCAGTGTCATTATATCGGCTCACTTGCAACCTCTGCCTCCCAGGTTCAAACGATTCTTCTGCCTCAGCCTCCTGAGTAGCTGGGACTACAGGTGTGTGCCATCAAGCCCGGCTAATTTTTGTATTTTTAGTAGAAACGGGGTTTCACCATGTTGGACAGGCTAGTCTGGAACTCCTGACCTCGTGATTTGCTCACCTCAGCCTCTTGAAGTGCTGGGATTTCAGGCATGAGCCACCAAGCCCGGCTCAAGAGTTCTTCATGAGAAAAAGTAGAAAGACTTCATAAAGAGAAGGCATTCTTTAACCAGATCTCCAACCAATAAGTAAAGAAAGAAGAAAAAGGAGACATCACACAGTCTGAAGTTCGGCGTGGCTGCAAGGATGGGGGACAGGTGAGAAACGGGACAGGAGGAAAGAATGGAAAAATCATGCAGCTCGAAGGGAAGATAGAATTGTGTATGTCTAATGACCTTGTGCTAAATCACTTAGATTTTATGCTGGAGGCCACAAAGGCAAGACATTCAAGCTGGAAGTAGGAAATGTATTTTTGAAAGAGAACTCTCACAGAGGGCTGGAGAACAGATTATAAAGAAAGAAACTGGAGCCTGGAAGGCCCATTGCCAAGATGCAGCAATGGTACACTCAATACTTTATTTTCGTTGTCCAGCAAAGACCTTTGGGGTTATGATGTTGTCACCCTCCAGTACAAAGCCAAGATAGCAAACTGTGAACTGCAGTTCAACCCTGACCGATCACTGGCTTCTTCTGAAGCTTCTGCTACCAGCCCATCTTCATGTAGACCGAACATTCCTTTTCCCTCAAATTCATCAAAATGTACTCCTAGAGCCAAATGCAGTGGCTCACGCCTGTAATCCCAGGACTTTGGGAGGCTGAGGCAGCTGGATCACTTGAGGTCAGGAGCTCAAGACCAGGCTGGCCAACATGGTGAAAGCCTGCCTGTACTAAAAATACAAAAATTAGCTGGCCATGATGGCACATACCTGTAATCCCAGCTGCTTGGGAGGCTGAGGCAGGAGAATCGCTTGAACCTGAGAGACAGAACTTGCAGCAAGCCAAGATTGTGCCATTGCACTCCAACCTGGGTGACAGAGTGAGACTATCTCAAAAAAAAAAAAAGGCTGGGCATTGTGGCTCATGCCTGTAATCCCAGCACTTTGGGAGGCTGGGGCAGGTGGATCACCTGAGGTCAGGAGTTCGAGATCAGCCTTGCTAACAGGGTGAAACCCCATCTCTTAAAAAAAAAAATGTGTTTCTGTCTCTAAGACTTTCCTAGAGTGGAGAAATGGGATTTGTCTTTCTACGTGATAGTATACAGATGAGCACAAAGAGGATATGGGTTTGCATCTGAAGATACAGATCTGGAAGGCATCTGTGAAGCAGGAAGCCATAGAAAGAATCCAGTCACGGCTGGGCACAATGGCTCACACCTGTAAACCCAGCACTTTGGGAGGCCTAATGTGCTCTGCCACCAGGCTGGAGTGCAGTGGCGCAATCTCGACTCACTGCAACCTCAATCTCCCGGGTTCAAGCGACTCTCCTGCTGGTATTAAAGGCATGGGCCACCACTCCCACCTAATTTTTGTATTTTTAGTAGAGATGGGGTTTCACCATGTTGGCCAGGATGGTCTTGATCTCTTGACCTCTTGATCTCTTGGCCTCAGCCTCCCAAAGTGCTGGGATTACAGGTGTGAGCCACCTCACCCAGCCAATCATGGTACTTCTAACCATGAAATACTATGCAGCCAAAATCGATTACAAGTGTGTAGGGGGGCTCTATATGTAGTAATATGGAAAGATATAACCAACATACACCATTGCATGAAGAAAATGCAGAAGGTTATGCAAAGTATGCTACCATTTGCATGAGGAAAAAATATGTGTAAACTTCTGTGTTAAACAAATGTTTACTATCTTTTGAGGATTACTCAAGAAATTGATAACAATGGTGGCTGGAGCCAAGAGGATTAGTGGCTCATACCTGTAGTCTCAGAACTCTGGGAGGCTGAGATGGGCAGATAACCTGAGGTCAGAAGTTCAAGACTAGGCTGACCAACATGGTGAAACCCCCTCTCTACTAAAAATAAAAAAATTACCTGGGCCTGGTGGCATGTGCCTGTAATCCCAGCTATTTGGGAGGTTGAGGCAGGAGAACTGCTTGAACTCGGGAAGCAGAGGTTACAGTGAGCTGGGATCACACCATTGCACTCCAGACAAAGACTCTGCCAAAAAAAAAAAAAAAAAGGCCCGGGTGCGATGGCTCATGCCTGTAATCCCAGCTCTTTTGAGGCTTAGGCAGGTGGATCATGAGGTCAGGAGTTCAAGACCAGCCTGGATAATATGGTAAAACACTGTCCCTACTAAAAATACAAAAATTAGTCGGACATGGTGACACACACCTGTAATCCCAGCTACTCAGGAGATTGAAGCAGGAGAATCACTTGAACCCAGAAGGTGGAGGTTGCAGTGAGGCGAGATCATGCCACTGTCCTCCAGCCTGGGCAACACAGCAAGACTCCATCTCAAAAGAACCAACAAAACAAAGCAAAAAAAAAAAAAAAAAAACAGTGGACCTAAATAGCTAGGAAACTGAGGAGGAAAGGATGCTTATTTTTCATTGTACACCCTTTTGAACTTTGTGTATTTTATACCATGCGTACATAATACTTGTTTAAAAATTAAGGTTAGTTTAAAAAATAAGCTGGGCATGATGGTATGTGCTTGTAATCCGAGCAACTCAGAAGGCTGAGGCAGGAGGATCCCTTAAGCCCAAGAATTTGAGACCAGCCTGGACAACATAGCAAGACCCCATCTTGAAATAAAATAAATGTTAAAAATAAGCAATTACGGGCACAGCAGTCACCAGGACTCCAAGATGTCATCAATCACACTAGTGAAGGACAAAAAACTTCTGGAGGTCAAACTAGGCAAGCTGTCACACTGGATCTCGATGTGGGACTTCACCCCTAGTGGCATTGCCAGAGCGTTTCAAAGAGGGTGCTACCAGTACTACAACAAGCACATCAACGTGAAGAAGGGAGCATTTCAGGGGTTACCATGGTGCTGGCAGGCCACGTGTTTTTCAGCTACTGCCTTTCCTACAAGCTCAAGCATGAGCGGCCACACAAGTACCACTGAAGAAGAGGGCACGCTCTGCACACTCCCCACAACCTTCTTGGCCTGAACCCCTCCATGAGGGTCACAATCTCAATCATTGCTGAATCCTTTCATATTCTAATGAGAATTAACCTCCAAATAAAAGATGACTGGTTTTTAAAAAAGGTAATTACATAAGAATTGTTTAAGCAAGAAAACACAATGAAATAAAGAAAAAAAGATTTATATGAAAATAACTCACTTTCCCACCCTATATACAGGGGAAATCTAGTGTCCCTCCCACTACCCTCAAGGAATCTTTTTTTTTTTTGACACAGAGTCTCGATCTGTCACCCAAACTGTAGTGCAGTGGCGAAATCTCGGCTCACTGCAACCTCCACCTCCTTTTTTTTTTAGATGAAGTTTCACTTTTGTTGCCCAGGCTGGAGTGCAATGGCATGATCTCAGCTCATGGCAACCTCCGCCTCCCAGGTTCAAGCAATTCTCTTGCCTCAGCCTCCCAAGTATCTGGGATTACAGGCATCTGCCACCACGCCCGGCTAATTTTTTTTTTTTTTTTTTTTTTTTAGTAGAGACGGGATTTCTCCATGTATGTCAGGTTGGTCTTGAGCTCCCGACCTCAGGTGATCCACCCACCTTGGCCTCCCAAAGTGCTGAGATTACAGGTGTGAGCCACCATGCCCGGCTCTTCAAGGATTCTTGAGGAAAAGAAGGGCTGTGCATTTCTCCTAGTGACCTCGTATTCTGACATCTTGATTTCACTGGATTCTTAGACTCAACTCCAATTCCTGCCTCCTACATATGCTGCTTATCACCGTGAACAGTAGCAGCAGTCACTGGCTCTAATTAAGCCTGCTTTTCCCTACAAAGCCCTCCATACAGCTCTTTTCAAAACTCTATCTATTAGTAACAGAAATGGGGAGGTCTTTTCTCCTTCTAGTTAGTACACAATCCAAAAATTTGAGCCAGGCGCAGTGGCTCACACCTGTAATCCCAACATTTTGAGAGGCCAAAGCAGGAGGATTTCTTGAGCCCAGGAGTTCAAGACCAGCCTGGACAACACAGTCAGACCCCACCTCTACAAAATATTTAAAAATTAGGGTGGGCACAGTGGCTCACGCCTGTAATCCAAGCACTTTGGGAAGCCGAGGCTGGTGGATCACAAAGTCAGGAATTCAAGACCAGCTGGCCAACATGGTGAAACCCCATCTCTCCTAAAACTACAAAAATTAGCTGGGCACTGTGGCAGGTGCCTGTAATCCCAGCTACTGGGGAGGCTGAGGCAGGAGAATCACTTGAACCCAGGCAGCAGAGGTTGCAATGAACTGAGATTGCACCACTGTTGCCTGGGGAACAGAGTGAGACTCCATCTAAAAAAAAAAGGGGGTGGTCTCTCCTTGCCACGGTGCGCCAGAGCAGAGTACCAGTCTGAGGCTGAGGGAGTCATGGCAGAAAGGCCTTTAGAAAGTTTCTCCCACTCTTTGACCGAGTATTGGTTGAAAGGAGTGCTGCTGAAACTGTAACCAAAGGAGGCATTATGCTTCCAGAAAAATCTCAAGGAAATGTATTGCAAGCAACAGTAGTCGCTGTTGGATCGGGTTCTAAAGGAAAGGGTGGAGAGATTCAACCAGTTAGCGTGAAAGTTGGAGATAAAGTTTTTCTCCCAGAATATGGAGGCACCAAAGTAGTTCTAAATGACAAGGACTATTTCCTATTTAGAGATGGTGACATTCTTGGAAAGTACGTAGACTGAAATAAGTCACTATTGAAATGGCATCAATGTGAGGCTGCCCTGAAATCTTTCATCATGTAAATAATTTCCATATCTCTCTTTTATAATAAACTAATGATAACTGAAAAAAAAAAAAAAGGGAGGATTGCTTGAGCCCAGGAGTTTGAGGTTTCTGTGAACCATGATCACACTGCTACATTCTAGCCTAGGCAACAGAGCAAGACCTTGTCTCAAAAAAAGAAATTGATGTATGAGTCCCAGCTACCTCCATAGTAGAGATCAGCTACCCAAGTGGTGCCAGCAACCAGCCAGAGAGAGACTCTCTCTAAAATTAAAAAAAAAAAAAAACCTGACTGCCCAGGAACCTGTGGCCATAAATTGCACACTAAGTTCCAGAATTCTCTCTCACTTGAGAATTCTGCAATGAATTTTTTGGTCTTGACCTCTCTAGGAAGCTCACACAATACTGCATGCCTTCTACCTAAATCTTTCTTTCTTAAACTATTGTTTCAAGGATCATCTCAAGCAGTTTCAAGAACTTCTCTGCAACCCCAGAACTTTGGGAGGCCGAGGGGGCAAATCACCTGAGGTCAGGAGTTTGACACCAGCCTGGACAACATAGTGAAACCCCGTCTCTATTAAAAATATAAAAATTAGCTGGGTGTGATGACGAGTGCCTGTAATCGCAGCTACTCGGGAGGCTGAGATAGGAGGATCACTTGAATCCGGGAGGCTGAGGTTGCAATGAGCTGAGATCATGCCACTGAACTCCAACCTGGGAGACAGAGAGAGACTCCATCTCAAAAAAGGGAGCTTATTTGACTTTGAAATCTCTTTCAAGAACCAAAATGTCCTGTGATGTCCTGTGCAGGTGAATTTGTTAGCAATGGTTGGTTAAGTGTTGTATTCCTAGCAAAAACACACTCTTGGCTGAGCTCTAGAGGGATGACTGAAGCCAACATGCAGTTGGGTATGTCCCCAGAGTTCAAAACTGCTTAGCCCAGAGGTCAGCCACCTGGATGCCAATCCTCCATCCTGCAGGGCTTACTCTGACATAGTTTGTATATTAGTCCCCACCTAAATCTCATATCAAACTATAATCCCCAATATTAAAGGTAGGGCCTGGTGGAGGTGACTGGATCCTGGGGGTGGATTTCTCATGAGAATGGTTATCAGCACCATCCCCTTGGTGCTGCCCTTGAGATAGTGAGTGAGTTCACAGGAGATCTGGTCATTGAAAAGTGTGCAGCACCTCTCCCCAACTCTCTGTCTTACTCCTGCTCACCATGTGAGACACCTGCTCCCCCTTTGCCTTGGAAGCTTCCCAAGGCCTCCCCAGAAGCAGGTGCCACTATGCTTCCTGTACAGTCTGTAGAGTCATAAGCCAATGAAACCTCTTTTTTTATATATTACCCAGTCTCAAGTATTTATCTTTTTTTTCTTTCTTTTTTTTTTTTTTTTGAGACGGAGTCTCGCTCTGTCACCCAGGCTGGAGTGCAGTGGCTCGATCTTGTCTCACTGCACCCTCTGCCTCCTGGGTTCAAACAATCCTCCCACCTTATCCTCCCAAACAGCTGAGACTATAGGCACATGCTACCTATCCAACTAATTTTTACATTTTTGTAGAGACAGGGTTTCACCAAGTTGCCCAGTCTGGCCTCGAACTCCTGAGCTCAAGTGATTCGCCCACCTCAGCCTCCCAAATTTCTGGAATTATAGGCATGTGTCACCACACCCAGCTGGAACACCACTTTTACTTGAAAGAGCAACTGACAGATGTATGATTATTTAGGCTTCGATGTTTGGCACACTGTCTCAATCTTAAATGAAGTGAACCTGTCACTTTAAGGAATTCAAGTGACAGTGTTGGTTGCCAGTAATAGAATTTGAGCTTTCAGCCGGGTGCAGTGGCTCACACCTGTAATCCCAGCATTGTGGGAGGCCGAGGCGAGTGGATCACCTGAGGTCAGGAGTTTGAGACCAATCTGACCAACGTGGTGAAACCCCATCTCTACTAAAAATACAAAAATTAGCTGGGCATGGTGGCAGACACCTGTAAAACTAGCTACTTAGGAGCCTGAGACAGGAGAATCACTTGAACCCAGGAAGCAGAGGTTGCAGTGAGCCGAGATCACACCATTGCACTCCAGCCTGGGCAACAACAGGGAAATTCCATCTCAAAAAATAAATAAATAAATAAATAAAATAAAATTTGAGCTTTCAAGCAAAACGTAGAATTTTCAAAAACTTGAATCTGCCACTGTGAGCTTGAAATCTTCCCAATACTTAAGATTTTTCTGCTGAGATCAATGATGATAATCACAAATGTGATTCTTTCAATATTGTGTAATGAAAACACCAATATTTGGAAGCACTGCATCATTCAGGGAACTAATATTTTCCACATGACCAGTGCATGATGTTACAAAATTATGCATGGGCAAAAGATCCATTCATGGTGCAAAATAAATCAATGAATTTTAATATGACAGAGTACAAAAAGTTCATTGATGTGGATTCAGATTCTACATTGCAACTACATTTTAAGAAATTACCACTTGACAAGTTTTGGTAGGGTACCAAAGAATAATACCTACAATTATCTAAAAATGCTGCTAAAATACTCCTCTATTTTCCAGCTTTATGTCTATGTGAGGCTGTAGTTTCTTTAACTACTTCAACCAAAATAACATTACAACAGATTGATTGCAAAAGCAACTATGAGAACCAAACGTCTTTTGTTAGACCAAATATTAAACACATTTGTAAAACCGTGAAACACCATTCTTCTCATTAAATCCTTTTTGTTTCGGAATAAATTTTTTTTTTTTTTTTTTTTTGAGACGGAGTTTCGCTCCTTACCCAGGCTGGAGTGCAATGGCGCGATCTCGGCTCACCACAACCTCCGCCTCCTGGATTCAGGCAATTCTGCCTCAGCCTCCTGAGTGGCTGGGATTACAGGCACGCGCCACTATGCCCAGCTAAGTTTTTGTATTTTTAGTAGAGACGGGGTTTCACCGTGTTGACCAGGATGGCCTGAAATAAATATTTTTATAAAATACGTATTATTGGCGGGGCGCGGTGGCTCACGCCTATAATCCCAGCACTTTGGGAGGCCGAGGCGGGTGAATCACGAGGTCAAGAGATCGAGACCATCCTGGTCAACAAGGTGAAACCCCGTCTCTATTAAAAATACAAAAACTTAGCTGGGCATGGTGGTGCGCACCTGTAGTCCCAGCTACTCGGGAGGCTGTGGCAGGAGAATTGCTTGAACCCAGAAGGTGGAGGTTGCGGTGAGCCGAGATCGCGCCATTGCACTCCAGCCTGGGTAACAAGAGTGAAACTCCGTCTCAAAAAAAAAAAAAAAAATACATATTATTTGTGCTAATATGTATATGGTTTTTACTGTCATTTTTTAAATGAATTAATGATTACTTTTAAGTTTGTCTAATTTCTAATATAGTAAACATTGATAAATAGAACTCACAAAATAAAAGCTCAATTTTTAAGAGTAGAAATGGGTGCTGAGACCAAAAAGTTTAAGAACCATTGGTTTTACTGAACAGACAAGGTCACTTTAGAATGTATCTGCTTTTTGTTCAGGGAAAATCGATGACTGGACTTCCTTAGTTATGTAAATATATGATGAACAGGCGCTACCGCTCTGGGAGAATGGTAAGAGGACCTTTTGTAACCTGTCAAAGTCTCCCTCAAAGCTTGGTATACAGAGGTGGTCGCTAGGAGTAAATCTGCCTCGGGACCAAGAAGCTTCCTGGGAAGAAAGCAAACAAACCGTGGCCCTTCTCTTTGAGATACAGTGTCCTTGCAACCACTCAGAAGGCTGGAGAACTGGTGGGAACAAAGGACATCAAAGGCTTCAAAGGGGTGAACTCACTGTGAGACAGCGAAGAATTCTGCACAGGTGACCCAGGCCTAGAAGGCCATACAGGAGTAATCGCTCCTGCAGAGTGTGAAATTGAGGATGGCAAGCCTCTCTGGGTCTCTGGATCCAGCTACTTTGTCCCAGTGGTTCTTTCTTGGGAATAATGACTAGCCATGGATGTGAACTAGAAGAGAGATTCTCCGGGAGCCCATATGTGGGTATCTGCAGAGATCCGAAATAGCAGTGGCATCATTCCAGCAGTGGGGCCAGGCCTGGGCTGAATCATGCTTCCGCAGTGATAACTGTGGGATGATGATATAAGAAGCAACAGCCCTAAACCAGAGCCCACTGAGGAACTAATTTAATTATTTAGCTTTTTTGCTACTTAATGTTTGAGAGCAGACCTGATCCCTTTGAACTGAATAAGCCCCTATTATTCTGGGATAATTGGAGGGCAATGGACAGTTTTAAAAGAGAGATTCTGGGCCAGGCGCGGTGGCTCAAGCCTGTAATCCCAGCACTTTGGGAGGCCGAGGCGGGTGGATCACGAGGTCAAGAGATCGAGACCATCCTGGTCAACATGGTGAAACCCCGTCTCTACTAAAAATACAAAAAATTAGCTGGGTATAGTGGCGCATGCTTGTAATCCCAGCTACTCAGGAGGCTGAGGCAGGAGAATTGCCTGAACCCAGGAGGCAGAGGTTGCTGTGAGCCGAGATCGCACCATTGCACTCCAGCCTGGGTAACGAGTGAAACTCCGTCTCAAAAAAAAAAAAAAAAAAATAGAGATTCTGGCTGGGCATGGTGGTTCACGCCTGTAATCCCAGCACTTTGGAGGCTGAGGCAGGTGGATTACAAGGTCAGGAGTTCGAGACCATTCTGGCCAACATGGTGAAACCCCTCTCTACTAAATATACAAAAATTAGCTGGATGTGGTGGTGCATGCATGTAGTCCCAGCTACTTGGGAGGCTGAGGCAGGAGAATTGCTTGAACCTGGGAGGCGGAGGGTGAGCTGAGATTGCGCCACGGCACTCCAGCCTGGCAAGAGAGCAAGACTCCGTCTCAAAAAAGAAAAGAGAGAGAGATTCTGTGGTCAGGCACAGTAGGTCAGACCTGTAATCTGAGCACTTTGAGAGTCTGAGGCAGGAGGATCATTTGAGTCCAGGAGTTCAAGAGCAGCCTGAGCAACATAGCGAGACCCTGTCTTTATTGGAAAAAAAGGGGGTTGGGGGAATAATTACAGAATGCTTCAGAAATGGAGAGGTAGCCAACAAACTCTAAAGGAGATATAGAAAAAAGTTCCCAAAGCACATTAATCAGGACGTTTATTGCCAGGATTTGTAAAACAAAGAATCCTAAATATCAATGATTTAACACAATTAATTAATATTAATTCAGTATTTATATTTTTGTTATGCTCCAGCAGATTTCTTTTTCTTTATTTCTTTGTTGTTGTAGCTGCTGTTGTTAAGATGGAGTCTCCCTCTGTTGCCAAGGCTGGAGTACAGTAGCACGGTCTTAGCATAGTCTTGGCTTACTGCAATCTCTGCCTCCCAGGTTCAAGCGATTCTCCTGCCTCAGCCTCAGGAGTAGCTGGGATTACAGGTGTGAGCCACCACTCCCGGCCAAACCCACAAATTTCACTTACATTCTATTCTCCGGAACCCAGTCACGTGGCCCAACCTAGATGCAAGAGAAGTGGGTAAGGTGGGTTTTCCTGGTTCCAGGAAGGAAATGAAATGGTTTGGTGAACACATAGCATTTTCTCTGCCACACTGAAGTGATTTCTGAGTTAAAGAATGAGGGAGTGTATGGAGAAGGTAAAGGTAGAGAGTGAACATTTTGGATACAGAGCAATGCATATTGAAAGCCCCAGGTGAGCCAGGCATGGTGGCTCATGCCTGTAATCCTAGCACTTTAGGACACCAAGCCAATGGATCATCTGAGGTCAGGAGCTCAAGACCAGCCTGGCCAACATGGTGAAACCTTGTCTCTACTAAAAATACAAAAATTAGCCAGGTGTGGTGGCGTGCACCTGTAGTCCCAGCTACTCAGGAGGCCGAGGCACAAGAATTGCCTGAACCTGGGAGGTGGAGGTTGCAGTGAGCCAAGATTGCACCACTGCACTCCAGGCTGGGCATGGGGAAGGATCTCCATGGGAAGCAGCTGGAGTGAAAAATGTCAGAGGAAGGTATGATAAGCTGTGAGACTAAAAAGGTAAGCAGGGCCCTAACATAAAGAGTCTGTGTGCCATGTAAACCTTCATCCTAAGAGGAATGGAGAGCCATTCAAGGGTTTTAAACAAGGGAGTGATGTGGCCATAAATTAGCTTCTGAAAGATCATTTGGGCTGCAGCAGCACAGAGGCCAGATGCAGTAGCTCACACTTGTTATTTCAGCACTTTGGGAGACCAGAGTAGGAGGATCATTTGAGGCCAGGAGTTTGAGACCAGCCTGGGCAACATAGCAAGATCCCACCACTAACAATGAACTTGTTTAAAAAATTGCACGAAGGCTGGGCACAGTGGCTAACACCTGTAATCCCAGCATTTGAGAGGCCAAGGTGGATGGATCACGAGGTCAGGAGATCAAGACCACCCTGGCCAACAAGGTGAAACTTGGTCTCTACTAAAAATACAAAAATTAGCTGGGTTTGGCAGTGCATGCCTGTAATCTCAGCTACTTGGAAGGCTGAAGCAGGAGAATTGCTTGAACATGGGAGGTGGAGGTTGCAGTGAGCCAAAATCGCACTACTGAACTCCAGCCTGGTGACAAAGCTAGACTCCATACCTCTCTACCCTCAAAAAAATTGTGTGAATGATGAGTTTGGCAATGAGGGGTGAAGAATAGGGGGGAAATGGTGTTGTATACTAAGACAAAGATTTTTTTTTTAAGAGCAGTTTTAAGGGGAAATATAATATGCCAAGTGAACAGCCAAGTGAAGCCAGAGGCCTTTGGGAAACGAGGCCTAAAGACAGATCTTCACTGGAGATGAAAGATGTGATAGGCATCAGTATAGGGATGAAGCTCAAGACTGTAAATGCGGATTACCCAGACAGGCTATGAAGAGCAGGAATGGAAGAAGTGATGGACAGTTAAGTGTTTAACAATCATCTCTCCAGCTAAAGGAGGCCTGATTTGTAGCATTTGCTGATGTCTGTGGTCAACTTCAAGCTACCAACTTGTCATCACTGAGCCTAGCGTTGTGAAGAGATACACCCAGTTTGTTCTTATGAGCTGCTGAGAGCCAACTCCAGCACACTAGTGAATACAAGAGAGCCCAGCATACAAATATTTAAGAGACAGAATAAAAGAAATCTTGGCCGGGCTTGGGGGCTCATGCTTGTAATCCCAGCACTTTGGGAGGCCAAGGCGGGCAGATCACTTGAGGTCAGGAGTTCAAGACCAGCCTGGCCAACACAATGAAACCCTGTCTATATTAAAAATACAAAAATTAGCCAGGCATGGTGGCAGGCACCTGTAATCCTAGCTACAAGGGAGTCTGATGCAGGAAGATCACTTGATCTGAGTTCAAAAAGTCTCTATGTATCTGGGTGTTAGGATCGTTAGCTCTTATTGTTGCATTGATCCTTTTACCACTATATCTTTGTTGCTTTAAAATCTATTTTATCGAACTCAGATCCGGAACAAGTAAACTTAATAAATATTTATAGAGCTCTCCACGTTAAATACACAAAATATACATTCTTGTCAATACCACATCACACCTACTAATAGGTTTAAATGAAATATTGATTGGACATTATTAATACCCATTTTTTAGAAGAAAGTGACATTTCCGTTCTCTCTCCCTCTTTTTCTTCCTCTTTCTTTCTCTCCTTCACTCCTCTTTTTTTTCTTTTCTTCTCTCAAAAATAAATAAATAAAAATAAAAAGGACGATCACTTGAACCGAGGAGGTGGAGGTTGTAGTCAGCCAAGATCAAGCCACTACACTCCAGCCTGGGCAACAGAATGAGACTCCATCTCAA